CTCACTGTGTGTGAGAATTCTGATTCACGTCTTCTGGCTCTTGCATGTTTAAATTGGTGAGGATTAAATGGGTTTAGTTTAAACAAATATTAAAACCCTGGTGATGACAGTATAAATGACTGGTCATATTCGAACATGCGGCACTCACATTGAACAAAGAGTGACTGTTTTTTTATTTTATTTGGAAGCCAGAATGTGTATCCATCGACAGAAACATACATTAGCCGAACTGTTTTATGTATTGTTTTTTTAAACAAACCATATTACAGATGTATTTTCAGATTTAAGTTAAACCACGGTGAGAGTGTGTGCCGAACTGTAGGTGGAGAATGGTACGGTTCGATTTTTTACAGAGAACCGTTCCACCCCTATTTTTAGTACATTGAAAAGTCAAGTCACTTTTATTTATATAGCGCTTTATACAATACAGATTGTGTCAACGCAGCTTTACAGTATTGAACAGGAAAGTAGTGTGTCTATAATGCAAAAGGACCAATCATAAACACTTCAGTTAAAGTCAGTTCATCGTTGATTCAGTGAGGTCATTGTTCAGGTCAACTCAGTTCAAATAGTATTTGTGCAATCAAGTCAACAATATTGCCAGAAATTAAGTGTCCACAACTAAGCAAGTCAAAGGCGACATTGGCAAGAAACCAAAGCTCCATCGGTGACAGAAATGGAGAAAAAAATCCTTTGGAGAAACCAGGCTCAGTCAGGGGGCCAGTTCTCCTCTGGCCAGACAAAACCAGCATGGTGTGTTTTAATTCCAGACTGCAACACAAGTCAGATTGTGCAGAGGACTCATCTGGTTCCCGTGGTCTGTGCCGATGGCCGTCTAGGTGACGAGGTCTTCGCAGGGGATCTGTCTCTGGGGCTCATCTAGTTGACATGGTCTTCACTGACATTCAGGGCTGTAGAGGTCATCTTTAAGGCCGGGACATACCAAACCAACTTCAAAAAACTAGCGGCGACAAAAGCCGACTGTCGGCTTGGTGTGTCCCAGGCTTTAGGTGCTGATCCACCATCTGGATATAGACTGGATCCGGGTGACTGCAGTGACCTTCTGATCTGTGATACAGACTGGATTTGGGTGGCTACCGTGACCTCGGAATAAGAATTAAAGAGAGTAATATTAGCATAGATGCCATTCTTCTTACGATGTAGCGAGTACATAGGGTGTTCTGGGAAGCGTTCCCAGTTCCGGTTGACCTAATTAATGCAGCCTAACAATCCTTTAACTGATTTGAATTATAGAAATGTGATAGTGTGTTATGTGTAAGCCAGGTTAAAGAGATGGGTTTGGCTGCAGTTGATTTTCATCAAGCCATTGAGTGATAACAGTCTGCTATGTATCTTGTCACCACAGTAAGCAGGGAGGAGACCTGAGCATATCACAGTGTCTGAAAGCAAACTTGCAAGTTCACACACCTCTTTAATGTTACTTTTAGTGATCTCTGACTTTCAAAATCAAACATCATTAGTACCGACGTGAATAACAATGTTACTGAATTTACATTTAGCATTAGCCAGCAATTTTAAATTTGCAAAGATGTCAGGTGCTCTGGCTTCCAGTAAACACTGGACTATGGTGGCTGGTGTCTCTATTTTCACGTTCCGTTCAATAGAATCTCTAATAACAAGGGCACTTTCATCAGGTTTCTCAGTGGGTGCATCACTGAGTAGGGAAACCTGTTTAAAGGGATAGTTCACCCAAAAATGATAATTGAAAAGACCTTCATCTTCATGTTCTAAAGACCTTCATCTTTAGAACACAAATTACTGTAAGATATTTTTGATGAAATCCAAGAGCTCTCAGACCCTGCATAGACAGCAACACAACTAAAATGCTCCCAGGTCCAGAAAATGTAGCAAGGACATGGGTAAAATAGTCCATGTGGCATCAAGGGTTCAACCGTAATTTTACGAAGCTACGAGAATACTTTTTGTGAGTAAAGAAAACAAAAATAATGACTTTATTCATGCCATTGTGGAAAGAGAGTCACAACGCATGCACTTGCTTCCGCTTCATGTAAATTACACATGCACGTGCTGACACATGTTTGTGTTAATGTAAGCAGCAGCACCAAGCGCATGCATTGTTTACATGAAGGGGAAGCAAGCGCATGCATTGTGATTCTCTTTCCACAATGGCGGCGCGTTGCTGCAGAAGGGATAAGGAGGAGAAGAATTGTTGAATAAAGTAGTTATTTTTGTTTTCTTTGTGCACAAATGTGCATGTGGTGAGCGCGAACTGGAAACAGCTGGAATGGCGCATGAGACGAGTCTATCCGTGTTTGCGGCGCTCATGACAGGAATATGTGTAGAAAATACAAGAAAACTAATCGACACGAAGAGGAGAGAGATTTTTGAAACTGACTGGAATGTGTTCTTTTAAAACTGGAGGGTTTTGTCCAAGTATGTTCTCACAACATTGAGCAGCGACTGATGAGCGGTAAAACCGGGAACTGAACTAAGTTAGTCAAAATGGTGCTTGAGGACGTGGATCAAAATGGTAAATCAAAGACAGGACAATCCTATCAGTTCGCTATAATACACAGTTTAATCTTGACTTTCAGTGTTTATTACTGTGTGTTTATTGGCGTGATGGTTTGGCCATAATAGTTTAACTATAAAATAGTTATAACTAAAATAGTTAATTAACTAGTCATTAAGTCAGTGGGTGAAAAACATGAACAAATTGAACAAAATCTATCCTTAAACAAGCTTTTCAAAAGAATTTGGTTTAACTGTATAATCTGTATAAGTATGTTTTGAGTAATATTAGAATAAGCACCTCTTAGTTTCAAAATACTTACAGTATAAATGATTTGTAATTTTACAGGTTGTTACCCCATTATTCCCTAAACTTCGCATTTTATTCCCTTATACCTACACGGAGGTACTGAATAGGTACACTATAATTACAAAAAAGTTACACTGTAACTTCAGTTTACTTACGCAGTTCTTTGCAGGTTGCATATCTGGTTGTTACCCCCTTATTACCCAAACGTAACACATTGTTCCCTTATACCTACACGTATGTTCTTTATAGGTACACTATAATTACAGAAACGTACACCGTAAATTCAGTATACTTACATAGTTCTTTGCAGGTTGTAATCTAATGCGTTACCGCCAAATATTGTCCTATCATAACAAACCATACATCAATGGAAAGCTTATTTATTCAGCTTTCAGGTGATATATAAACCTCAATTTCAAAAGATTGTCCCCTATGACTGGTTTTGTGGTCCATGGTCACATATAATTAAAATGTATGTTAATAGCCAAATTCCACAACACATCTACTTATGCGACGTTTCGAATAAGACTGGTAATGCAAGTTGTTCGTTCTCAGTCCCATAGGTTATAACATGATGCAGTCCCGGAAACAGAATTGATTAGTTCATCTCTCGAGTCTTTGGGTTTGAGTCATTCGTTCTTTTGACACGTGCCAACTTCCCCGCTCAGTATCTTACTATAAATACAAACATTACATATTATTAACTGTATGCTGTTATTATATGTAAGTATCTTTGCTTTATCAGAGTGATATTTCCTCATCATATGGATAAAGTTTAAAGCCTCTTTATTACCACATTCAATATTAACCATCATGATAGAAATTCACAAATGTATAAATTGTGAGAAATAAAAAAGCTACAATTTGAGACTAGAAAAGCATCACACAACTGTAAAAGTATTTCTAATGAAGATTGGGAATTATTAACTAATTTCTGTATCCAATACTGCTATCACGGCATGACAAAAGAAATAACAACGACTCAGACCCGAAAACTCGAGAAGTGAACTAATCATTTCTCCTTCCGGCACAGACAGCATAGCGTCTGTCACGGGATGAACAAACGACTTCAATGCAAACAGGTGAACTAAACTAATCATTTCTGTTTCCTGTAAAGAACCAATAAGATGTTGCGCATGTGTGGTCAACATGAAATGAACGAATCCCTTGCTGAGACGACTCGTCGTTCCAGTCATATTAAAGATTAGTTCAAATTGAAAGAATCGTTCATGAATGACACATCACTAGTGTGAATGACAAGCTAACAGGCTAACGGAGTGCTAATGCACAGTGCTAGCTGTTTAGATTAAAAAACGAAATTATGTAAAATTAGTTTGTTAGATAATATCAGAAGTATAGTGATAATTATGACAGAGAGATAGTAAGATAGCTTCCAAACAGAAAAACAGATACACTGAGCTACAGTCGCAAGCCACTCAACAGCACGGCAGACAGCTAGTAAGTAGCCTTCCATGTGTCCTTCCTCAAACAGTATGCGCTGAAAAGATGAACTGTCAAAAAATGTAACATGCCTTCCCCTTCATGTCAGCCACTACTATTCCATTTTTTTCAAGGTCAAAGGTTTGAGTGGATCCCTATCCAAGATATACATTAAAGATGGCATTGCATTGGGTTTATTTTACTAATAACTGACTAACAGGCTTGTTTTTCTTTGAATCAGTGTTTTTGTGTTTCTTGCTTTAACATGGTTAAAATAGTTAAAGTATGTCTTAAAATAGTTAATGTCCTCAGAGGCCATTTTTTCTTTACATGCACTTCGAGACTCAAGATGATGGTAATACCTAATTTATGCTTGAATTAAAAAAAGCACCGATTTTTGATTTTTTGAAATTGATTACATCGATGAGAGTTCTGTATGAACAGCTGATTCAGGTGATACTATTTCGAAGACATAGTTCTATAATTCCACAAACTTAGAATAGTATTCACTCGTTTAGCTTGTTGTAGGTAAATGCCTTAATATTCAGTATCTGAGTCTTATATAGTGTCAGGTTATAGTATTTTACAGTATGTGTCCCTAGTATTACTTTTAGTGCTCTTAAAATATTATAACAATATGTCATTGAAAACCCCATTGTTGTGTGTCCCCTCAATATATATAGTGGTTACAACAGACAACAGTAGGAAATATAGTGCACCAGTTGTTATTAGACAAATGTTCAGAATGCTTGTTCACATTTATTGAAAATCAATTAAATTGCTTCAATTGTTGTATTAGGTACTACTGAGCCAAGAAGTGGGTTTAAGCACACTGTTCACTGCAGCGACAGGCCACATGAGCATCTGTAGTCTCTCTCAAGTCTACACTCTTCTCATAAATTCCATCAAGCATGTTGAGGTTAGAGACTGTAACACAGAATTAAAAAATGCATATGATGTTTAGAAACCAAATGATATATTTTCCCGCTCAGCCTATGTTAATCATTTTGCTTTTTAAGATGTAAAATCTGCTTTGTAAAGCAAAACCAGGTGACAATCACTTGACTAGAGTCATGTCAGCCTTCACTTACGTGTGGACAGGCAGTGGTATCCAATAGTGACAGGGGTGGTTCTGATTGGTTTACAGCCTGGCAGACAGCGCAGCACAGGCTCAACAGAGTAGCATTTAGATTCCTGGCCATTCAATATCACCTGCTTCTCCAACTTCACCGATTCAAGTTTCATACGGCATTCTGATAGAGGAAACATATTTATTTTAAAAATGTCTTTAAAACATATGATATTTTTTGTAATACACAGTGTCAGACAAATCTTACGGCTGGCATCACGGCAGCTCTCAGCAGGAAGCACCCATGAGTGGGCAAAGCTCACTGAATTCTTGGTCAGGTATCCACTGGGTGTGGTGTACTCCTGTCTGATTTCCCCATCAGCTTTTCCACAGAGTCCACAAGTCTGTCCTTTCATCCAGTCTGCAACTTGGATCTATAAATGAAAAATTGCATACTCAAACTCTGGATGATGGGTTTTTGTTGCAGAAACACAGTAGCTGATAAATGCTTATTAACTTGCAGTCACCTTCCAATGACCACTGGCAAAGTAGACTTCCTGAAGCCCATGACCAGAAGCATAAAGTGACAAACCATCAGCCTTCTCCCGGATCTGGATGGAGCCTAAACAAGAAGGGCAATTTAATTTACATTAGCTGAACAAGTTATGTGAAGTTATTCAAAGAGACCACATGGTCCTTAGAACCTACCTGAGGGATGCTGGTAGGGAAGGCTGCTGATGGGCACTTCCATTTCATTAATTTTAACTTTTGCCTGGGTGCCCAAAGCATACAGGTCGACATTGCTGTTAAAGACAGGTGATTGACTCAGTGCAGTGGTAATGAAATGATAACCACAGTAAGCAATCCTGCATATTATATGGATACCAGTTCACAAGAGAGTGAACTTACATATCAGCAAGTTTAATGTTCAGGTGGTTTTCTTCAGACTCCTCATCCTTCTTCAAGAGAACAACAAATTTCAGCTCAGGTGTGCAGTCCTGAGCCAAGACTTGGTAGCAAGAAATGGGCATTTCGTTCTTGTACCTCCTGTTGTTGAACGTAGTGATTGTGTCCTGCATCATGCTGCATTGTGCTAAAAATAGGAAATCAAAAACAAGTGTGGCTATGTGTGGTTTCGGAATATATTTAATGTTATTTTTATTTTTTTATTTTTTTTGACAAGGTAATTTCAGTATGTCATGTTATATATTTGTACCTGTGGTGCAATCATAGATATAGTTCTGGACTCTGAACAGAATGTCTTGATCAATATGAATAGAAAGAGTTCCATCTGGATTGATGGGTACAGTGACAGGGAGAGGAATAGCTATCCTTGACAGTGTCATCTAGAACAACAGAAAATTGTTACAGTATTTACAGTACTTTTTCTTATTTTATCTCTAAGTGAGTCATAGTTTAAATATTACTGGCCACTCGCCTCTGGAACCCTTACTATGACATTCAGGGACCTTTTACTGGGCAAGGCCACAGTCAGTTCAATCTCCTTCTCACTGTTTGTGGCTCTTTCAAACCTGAACCCTGCCTGTAACGCTGCCATAGGAATATGCTTAGACAGCCTGTTTAAAAAGTGATACGTAAGGGGGGGAAAGTCTTTAAAATATAACATTTATGCAGTTACCACAAAATAGTTTTTGATCATTGTGTTTACTTTTTGGCATAGTTGGTGATTAAAATTGGAAGCTCCTCCCATTCCCACTCTAGACGGACAGCAGGGAATTCTCCAAGTATTCCAGCTTCAGCTTTAGTAATGACTGCATATTGTTGACACTCTGTACCCCAGGCAACCTTGGTCTGAAGATAAAAAAATAATATACAATTTGGACCAGCAGATCATCAAGCACAGAATTAGACTTTTTTAGGAATTTCAGCCACATGAGCTCTGATCTTACAGTGACTTTGTGCTTGCTCAGCAGGACACCATCAGCACACAACTTCCAGTTGTCATTCTCAGCAATGGAAGAAGCAATGAGCTGCACCCTTGCAGATGGCTTGTCAAAGAAAGCTGCAAGCTGGTAACCCAACAACTTGCGATCTACTCTAACAGCACGGGCAATGATGACAAAAACTGGTGGAACAGTATTCCCAAGATATTTAGCCTGAAAGAATGAACAAGCATTTAAACTTCATTCAAGAAATTTGAAATGATTTTGTAGATTTTCTTATGGACAAAACAAATCACAGAAATTGATTCACCTGTTTCTGGAAACGCTCAAAACTAGATGCAGCGCTTCCACTGCTTACTGCCTTTGAGGATCCATGGTGTGCCATGTACTGCAAAGTTTTTGTATAATATTAACTGAACTAGAAGGAACTCAGTCTCTCCAAATAAAGATACATACAGTTATTTTTGAAAAGTAATGAGTAAAAATTATTATTTAGTAATTGCCTGATCTTTGTGGAATTTCTTGAAGGGGTCTATGGGATTGGCAGTCTAAAATCCCATAAGAAAAAATGTTGAGAGATTGATGATAAAAAATGTTAGCTAACAAGCAAGATCCCTGGTCCTCACCTCTGTCACACGAGAGCTGGACATGGAGGAGCTTGAACTGCTGCTGTTGCTGTTGCTTTCAGAAGAAATGGGCCTGTTTTTATCTTCAGTCTCCAGGATTTCCCTCAATTTCAACAAGAAGGCCTTCCCTTCTGGAGTCTCCTCATCAATGAGACTGATTTGCTTAAGGAGCCTCTCAGCAGCTCTAGGACCAACTTGGACTTCAAGTTCCAGTCTTTCAACTGTAGGACCTTCAGCTAAATCCAAAACCACAAAACAAATTATCATTATCTGTTAATACATCATGCAAATTCAACTAATTTTGATTCTAAAAATACCTCTTGCCACTGTAGCACGTGCTGAGTGTTGTCCAATTATGTAGAACAGAGGATCATTTCTGATAAAAGCAGCATTGTGAGAGTGCACCTCAACGCATCCCTTGATTTCAATGTATGGGACAGCAAGACAGAGAGTCTTGTCAAATGGAGCAGAAGCTCTCACAGGAGCCTCAGGTGGCATCTCAGGATCAAGGATCTCAGATGACTAAAAAAAAATGTATAAGCATTGTAACATCAAAAGAAGTCTTTGCATACTTCCACATGCAGTATACATGTGTGGCTTACCGATCCAGCAAGATCTGTCTGGCGGTTTTGCAATGACAACTCCGGTACCAATTGAACAATCCTCTCAGCAGTAGGATCTTCAATATTTCTGGCCACTGCAAGAGTCTCAAAGCTGTCAAAACAAGTAAATATTGGAGAAAACTTAAATTTTTAGAGATATCCTATATTCATTGGTGCTATGCTGGCATGACTGAGATTTTGTTACCTCATAGCAGCGATATGTTCAGGAACCTCGACAGGCAGAGCCTCCACCTTGTAGTTGCCCTTGAGAATGTCTGCTCTTACAGCCACTTTTCCAGGAGCAATTGTACGGATCTTTCCTCTAGCCATAACAGCAGCTTGGATCAAGGCAGTGTTCACTCCCATCACAGCAAATTTATGCACAGCAATACTGCAATAAGAATAAGAGAGATTGTGTTTTTGAAAACCATATTTGCATACAGTATTTAATGCATTTGTAAAAGTGTACCTTGGTCTAGCTTCAGCTTGGAGTTGAACATCAGTCTTCTTCAGCTGCTCAAGAGTCATAGTCTCAATCTCCTCAGGGAGAGGAGGTGTAATGGTGGCCTGGACTAGAAGGATGAACAGAACAATATAAAACTAAGAAGTGACTCCCTCATGTCCAAGGAAAAATTCTAAATGAAAAAAATCTCACCATTGATGGATGCAGCACCAACAGCAGCAGAGTACATACTGAGCTCCATGGGCAAACCAACTGCTGTTGGCAAGATACGACGCATTTCAGCTATAAGCAGGGGTTTGGCATACTGCAAGGCAATTCCTTCCTGCAAAGCTTTAAGAGCCGCCTTCAACAATTCACGTGATTTGGGTCCAGTGGCAAGCTGGGATAGTGTTAATTAAAAGACACAAAATAAATCTAAAAAAATTTAAGAATCTAACATCTGAAGAAATAACTCAGGGTGAGATTGACCTTAGAGTTATGCTCATAAAAGAGGATATATGAACTTGAACACAATACCGATATTGCTTGTTCAATGATGGTCCTGTCAATTCTGGCAAAAGCCACCTCCTGTCCAAACAGTTTGACATAGGCTGAAGCCAGTGGTTGACTGGTTGGCAGAGCCTTCCAATTTATGAGCTGAAGGAGCATACAGAAATCATGGGTTTAATTTTAATGTCATGTCTTAAATTCATTAGCAAACAACAAAATACAAATAACTTACTGCTCTCAGGGTGCGCTTAATCTTTGTGATACGGTCAACACTTTCATCTGCAGCAGGAGATTTCAGAAGAGCCTCCTGGATTCCTTCAGTTCTCACTCCAATCTGTTTCAAAGTAGCAATTGAGAGAAGACTATAAAAAGATTGTAAAACAATAAATTAGATTTCAATAATAAATCGATAAAACTGGTGAAAATAGAGAAAGTAATGATTTTTTTTTTTGGCAGTCCACCTCAAGAACATCAGCAGCAGCTCCAGCCAGATAAGCACGTGTTTTAGCTACAACAGCTCTGGGCAGGATGGTGGCAGCATCATTGATCATGTAGGCACTGCCAGCAGCTCCAACCATAAGTGGAGCTGCACAGAGACATAGGTAAGAATACCATTGATGGGTAGGTATTTTATGAAAAGCCCAAAGCATGCTCTCTTATGAAGAGATACATTACAAATGTCTTGGTTTTCAAGACTTACTGTGATAGATGTCAAACTTAAGGGCTCTGCTGAACTGAAAACTAAGCCTGTCCAGCTTGGGACTCAAAAGCTTGATAGCAACATGAGCTGCACCAGCACTAAAATGGATAAACAGCTTAACATCAGCTTCTGATCATGTGAAGTGATGAGATATTACATACAAATAATTATACTTACACAGCTGCCATATCAGGAGCAGTGATTCTGGTCAAGGACTTGATGTGGGAATAGGTAAAGCTCGCAACCTGCATGTTAGTTTCAGTCTTTAAAGAACCAGCAAGACTTGACATGAGAGCCACTGAGGGCTTGGTTTCAAACAACACAATACAAGCAACCATGCGAACTTCTGGGTGGAGAGATCTGTCCAATACAAGCTGCAGGGCCACTGGCTGAACCTGTGGCAAGAAACAAGATCAGTATATTATTGGAAGAAAATGTGCATAATCATATTTTAATCATTCCTTTGATGTTGGCCATTTACCAGTTTGGGCTCTTTCTTGGCAATGTTCCTCAGGGCCAAGATGGCATCAACCTGAACACTAAGGGGCAGAGATGTAGCTGCAGTTCTCATTCCAGGCAGGAGCTTCATGATGGGTTTAAGACTAGCAGGATGACCAGCATTGCCCAGAACTTTAAGAGCCAAAGTGATTTCAGGAATGTTATTCTTAGAAGTAGCTTCTGCAGCAATCTCATGGATGGGCTGAGGAATGTGATACACATACAGTACAATTAGAAAACAGCAAATGGCAAATCCCTATCAGATATTTAAGGCTTGAATTGTTTACCCCGAGGAGCTCGGCAGAGCAAGTGGGAACTTCAACACAGTGCTTGGCAATCATGGAACCATATCCGAGCATTACAACGTCATGCAGAGCTGGGATTGTGGAGAGTTTCTCATGCCAAGCCAAACTCTGTTCAAAAGGATATGAGAATGATTTGTCTGGTTTAGCAACATACTTAGAACAGAACTTTTGTATAATTATATATACCCACAGCTGTCAACTGGATGGTGTCCAAATCAGCAGTGACCATTTGCAAAGCAACCACAAGAGCCTGAATGAACTCTGGAAGGGTAAGTTCACCAGCCAGGAACTTCTCCTTGATGAATTTTACAATGACTGGTGTGCCAACAGCAGGAAGAGCATCTAGAATCCAGCGCCTAACAGATTCATTGTTTTATGTACAACATTTTTAAGGATTCTCTTTAACTAAAATTTGCTAACGTTTTCCCCAAAATTCTACCTGTACACTGGTTCATTCTTGAACTGAGTCCAGATATCCTCAATATTCTCCAGGGTGGCAGCACGCAGGAGCTGAACGAGCTGAACAAACTTAAGTGGAGCGTCATCATGGACCATGGCCACATTGTTCACAACCAAGTGCTTCAGGACCTCCACAATCTAGAAAAAGGCAATGGTCAGGCATCAAGTCTTGACAGTTCAATGTGGATGGATTTTCTTACAATCAAAAGCTTTGATGCATTACAGGTAAATTAATCTACACCTTTACCTGTGCTGGTGCATTGCTGATCTTTATGAGTTGGATGGGAGTCTGAAGAATCTCAGTTGAAAACTCATATTGCAGGGATCCACGGGCCATGTAATCAGCTTTGTTTGGAACAACAGGGGTCTTTTCTATCTCAACAAAAGCCAAGATTTGTCTGTAACACACACCCAATTGTTTCTGTACATGAACCATTTTTGAAAAATAATGAAATGTGTTAGAAATATTGCTGCTTCATATTTCTAAATCTCACAGCTTATCAAGCATACTTTGCTTCCATCATTGCTGCACCATGGATCTCATTGAAGGGTGAAAACTGATGCACTTCCTCAACTGTTGCCTCAGTGATCAGTGCACCAGTGGAAGATGGTTTCATAATGTAATTGTAAGTTGCAGTTTCAATCAGACTCTTGACCCTCTGTTGAGAGACAGGTAAGTATCCATTTTTTGACTCTAGATAATGATTTATTGATAATCTTTTAGAAGTGCAAGATAATTCATCAACATTTTTGGTCCACGTTCTCAGAAGAGAAATCCTTTCAATCTTTAAGTCCATTCCTGTCTTTTTCTTTACCTTTGTGCATTCAGCACACCTCTCAGTGTATGCCAAGCCAACATCCTTCATGATTCTCTCCTGGCAGTGGCTCAGATCCTTAGACTTGGTAACGGTAATGTGGTTGGTCTTTGGATCCTCATTGATGACATAGTGGGTCCTGCACACTCCCTGAGCTCCAGCCTTGAAGGACGAGTCAAAAAATAAGATGGCAGAACTTAAATTAGTTTTAAAAAATGTACTAGGATTACTTACTCACCTCTTGCAGTTCATAGATGTTCTGGGTCCTCTTGAGGTTGAGCTGAAGGATGTTGAGGATACCTCTGTGTAAATTCAGTACCGTAGGGGAGACTCCTGCCGGGGCAAATACCTTTCCAACCACACCATTAGCATACTCAAACTTGATGGGAATCTGAAGCTGAGCAGCCAGTGCTGAGGTGAGCTTAGTGGCAGGAACAAATGGATCCTTGGGCCAAATACCAGCATACTCGTGGATTAGAGGATCCATGAGCTGTAAGGGGACATTTTCCATTTAAATTATTGTCATTGCAATCTTGTAACAGTAGTGGCTAGCAGAGACTTTTTTGTGTGTTTTAACAGTCATTACCTTCATCAGGAAGGTGTTCTCGGTGACTGCACTGAGGTGAACCTTACTGTTGACTTTTATACCTGCTCTGGCCAGACCTTCTTGAGGAAGACCGCCCAAGAGTAGAGCCTCATAGTTGTACACATAGGTCTTATCAGGGGCAAACTCTGGAACTGAAACATAATTTATATTGACTATATTTTATTCTGTTTTAAGACATTTATTGTGTTGTAGATGTATAATTAATTTGTCGCTTAAAAGAAAACCAAATCAACACTTACCAAGGTTAATCTGTTGACTCGCTACAAGAAACAAATAATTTAATGAGACAAAACCCTGAAAATAAAGTTTTTGCATAGAATAACATTTTTTAAACACCGCGTACTCAAAAATCTGACTTACCCACAAAGGCTAGGGTCAAGGCAAGCACAACAGCTCTCATGGCTGGTGGTTTGTGAAGAATGCAAGAAAAGGACAGACCTTTATAGTTTCTGTTTTTGCTGACCACATAATAATTCTAAAATAATGATTAACAAATGTTTCTATGATTGCATCTTAGAACTGAGACTACGCTTTATTTGGTTAGTTGATAAATAGATATCAATTAGAGGTTAGGTTACCCTGGCCTCTCATCATGTCATCCTTAGGTTAAAGTCCACAGTGAAACATAGTATTCTTTTTCTAATTAAATATTTAATTATTTAATTTAATGATTCATTATTTCATGTAACAAATTCAATATTTCATTTATAACAATGACCAATATAAATATTTCAGTTTTATCAAGTGTATGGAATAATTGGCTGTCACTTATAGGCCCGGTTTCACAGACGGGGCTTAGCTTAAGCCAGGACTAGGCCATAGTTCAATTAGGATTTTAAAGTAATTTTTATAAATATACCTTAGAAAAAACACTTGTGTGCATCTTGAGACAAAACAAGGGCACTGACATATTTCAAGATCAATCAGTGTAAGTTTCTTTCAGTTGCAACAGCTCAGACTTACACTTTAGTCGGGGACTAGGCTTAAACCTTGTCTGTGAAACCGGGGGATAGTGAATAAAATACAATAGCCCCTAGATATATTTTCAAGGTCATTTATTCATATACTGTATGCTCACACTCACTGGGCCTATCAAATTTTGAACCCTTTTCAATAAAGTTTTCAATAAACTAAAATTATGTTTAGTAGTACATAGCTGTAAATAGAAGCCATGGTGCAGTGGTTGATGCATGTTAAGCAAACTCAAACAAACAAAATGATGTATACTTTTGCATATATAACATTTTTATTAAATTTTTTGAATGCACTGGACCTGGTAGACTTAAAAAATGTAACTGTTATATAACAGGAAATAACTGATACATTTAAAGTATTTAATAGATTTGTTTAGTACACTTGTACAGTCTTCGGTCACTTTTGACTGAAAATTTTTACATTTTGAAATTGTAAAAATTGTAGCTTCATCAGAATGGTACGAAACTTGGTGACTTTTATGGCACTTGGTATGTGAACACACAAAAAAATTGACGGCTTGATTTGAAAAAGCTAAGTGCTCATAAAAAAGAAATAGACACACTCATGGTCTTCGGTCAAAATTGACCGACCATAGGAAATGAATGGGAAGTTGCGATAAGCGAGTTACAGAAAATGTTTGGGTGTACAATCTACAAATCCCCCACGACACAGAAAAAATTGCACAGCAATGAAGGGGTGAAATTCTGAAACATCTAGAGTGCAAAATCAACACACGCGCACACACACACACACACTTATGCACACACATCGCTATGAACTGGTGTGCCAGTAACACAGCAGCTATGTAAAATAAAATAAATAATTCAACTACAATTTAGTAAAAAAGTGGACAGCAAGGAAGGGGTTACACTCTAAAACAGACACACACACACACAATTATACATACTCAAATGAATTGGTATGGCTATAAACATATAGCCAAAATGAGTCAGAAAACTGAAAAAAAAGGTTGATATCAGATCAGACCCAGAAGGATTAAGCTCTGATAAAGCATTCCTGTTTATTTTTGTTACATTTTTATAGAATTGTAATGTTTTGTATAACAAAATGCTTTCTGAGTTCAGGTTTGACTGTAGCAATAATCATTCAAAAACTGATGCTTCAAATCTACATCTAAAACAACAAAAAATATAAATCTTGACAAAAAGTAGTCTTTGAGAATGCCTTAATATACATTTAAATCCACAACCTAATAAAAGTAAAGAATTGTGTATAAAAACAAATAGGGAATTCAAAAGCCTCTCTATAGATTCCTATACAGGCATCTAGTGGTTACACCATGAAATTACATGTTCCCTTTCGATACTTCACTCGTACTGCGTCTTGCTTAAGACGCATACTATATAAGTGGGCGCTCGCCACAGGATTCTCAGATTTTTTCTCCTTCAGCGACGACTCTACATCTCAAGCTGATCCGAAGCCGCTCGCCGTTGACACGCCTTCGCAGCTGGAATCGGGACCTCCCAGCTCGGCTGACCTGCTTCTCCACTTCTTCAGCGACGCAGCAGTTCCGGTCCGGTTCCCCTGCCGCCATCCGGCGACCTCAAAGCTTCTAAAAGAGCAGCGGCGTTGCAAATGCTGCGCCGTTATTGCGGCTCGTGCAGGTCTCCCCTGCACTCCGATGACGGCCACACGGAGTGCGTTTCCTGCTCGGGGAAATCCCATGCGGAAGCTGCGCTCACGGGAGCTAATTGCTCTCATTGCGAGAGTTTTAGTCTCGCCTCTCTCCGCTCATGGATCGCTTTCTTTTCAGAGAGCGACTCCGTCCCCCGCGCCCTCCCGTTTTCTTCCTGCCAGGGACCTGTGAGGAAAAAACAGTGGGGCAAAGGGGTTGAGCGATTGGCCACGAGCGAGCTCACGCCGGCCCAGATCCCGCGTGCCTCGCTCTCGTCGCAGAGAGAGAGTTCTCCCGTCCTTTTCTCCTGGTCTGATCAGCCTCCCTCTGCTGATGCAGGTGATCTGATCTCATTCGGGGGAAGTGGAGACGAGCTGCTCTATGAGAGCATGTCACTGGCAGCATCGGATACAGAGGAGCTGTTGGGCTCAGAGAATGACCCCACCCTCTCGCCATCATCCGCACCCTGCGCCACCAAAGACGGGACGGATACCGAGCTTCTCCGTATCCTCTCCAAAGCGGTCGAAGAGCTGGGTTTAGAGTGGTCCCCTCCAGAGGAGCCCTCTCGCAGTCGTCTGGATGAATGGTTCCTGCTGGGGCGCCGACAAGCCCCTCATCAGCGTACCTCTCCATTATTCCCAGAGGTCCACGACGAGCTCACCAGATCGTGGCGTGCTCCATACTCCGCCCGCCTCCGTACTGCCTCTTCATCCACCCTCACCTCCATCGACGGCGCTGAAGAAAAGGGGTACGATAAGCCGCCTCCCCTAGATGAGCATCTCTGCCCACCCACGGCCGTCGGCTGGAGAGCAAAGGCCGCTCACCCGTCTAAGCCGTGTAGGACTACTTCAGCTCTCACTGGACGCGCCTACACCTCAGCTGGACAGGCGGCTGCGGCGCTTCACTCTATGGCGGTCCTTCAGGTCTTCCAGGCCCAAATCCTTGCATCCTCCGAGTCTGGCCTGGACCCCGCTACCCTCAGGGATCTGAGGAGCGCGACAGACCTGGCTCTATGCGCCACCAAGACCACGACCCAGGTGATTGGGAGATCGATGGCCAGCCTTGTGGTGCTCGAGCGCCATTTATGGTTGACGCTGACGGAGATGAAGGACCAAAATCTGCGCCGACTCAGCAGCCTGCGAAACCAGAGCCTGCCACCCCCGCTGCTCAGCCCGCTAAAGCACAGCAGACGCGGGGATGCTCTCGCTCGGCCAGACGCTACCCTCTTCCTAAGCACCAGGGACCACGAGACAGGAAGAGGATGGGGTCAGATCTCGCCACGGCCGGACCACCCCTCAAGCAGCCTCTCCTTACACCTCTTGACACCCCGTTCAGTTCCGGGTGAAGAGACAAGTGTGTTTTGTTCAAACAATGGGCCCATTCATGCGCCCAAGCATCCGACCGCTGTGATAGCGGAAAGGATAATAAAACACAAACATTTTCAAAAAGAGAGCAAACTTCCTCTTCCATCACTCGTACGTGGTCTGCCCCCATGCGGCCAGTTACCCGAGTTAATACAACCCCTCGTCACGCGGGCCGAGGCCTGGCAGGCCATCCCCGGGGTGTCGGAATGGGTTATGGGAATAATAAAGCAAGGATATTCACTCCAATTCGCTCGGAGACCCCCACGCTTCAGCAGCGTGGTCCCCACCTCCGTGCAGAGCAAGGACGCACACGTCCTGCGCTCAGAGGTGATGAAATTGCTGGCCAAAGGAGCCATGGAAAAGGTTCCAGAGCGAGTCAGGCCTTTACAGCCATTACTTCCTCGTCCCCAAGAGAGATGGTGGCCTCCGGCCCATCCTCGGTCTCAGACACCTGAATCGCGCCCTCGTAAGGAGGTCGTTCAGGATGGTTACACTGAAACAGATCCTCGCGCAAATCAGCTCGAGAGACTGGTTCTTTTCCCTGGACCTGAAGGATGCATACTTTCACATCCAGATAGCCCCTCGTCACAGGCCATTCTTGAGATTCGCCTTCGAGGGCGTGGCTTATCAATATACGGTCCTTCACTTCGGGCTGGCCCCCTGCACCTTTATGAAGTGCATGGATGCGGCTCTTTCCCCTCTGAGACAGATGGGAGTCCATATTGTCAATTACCTCGACGACTGGCTCGTCCTGGCCCAGTCGGAGGCAGAACTGATATCTCACAGAGCCCTCCTCCTCAGCCACCTGGAGTGCCTGGGACTCAGGGTCAATTTTGCCAAAAGTTCATTACTTCCCAGCCAACGAATCTCGTTCCTGGGAACAATCTTCGACTCAGCTCAAATGAAAGCTGTAGTCACGCCAGAACGAGCTCTGGCCATACAGAGGCTGGAGACCTCCTTCAAGATCGGTACCGCTCGCCCGCTCAAAGCGTTTCAAAGGATGCTGGGCCTCATGGCAGCAGCATCTCCAGTGTTACAGTTGGGTCTGCTGCGTATGCGCCCCCTTCAGCGCTGGTTGAAACCACGGGTTCCATTCCATGTGTATCAGGGGGAGTCAGGCCTGTGTGTCGGCCCTGACCCCCTGGAAGAACTCCCGTTGGATGGAACAGGGCGTGGCCATAGGGATGGTTCACAGAAGGACAGTTGTCACGACAGACGCCTCCAACTCAAGTTGGGGGGCGCTGTGCAAGGGAATACCGACCTTCGGCCACTGGTCGATGGCGGAAAAAGGCTTCCACATCAACTGCCTGGAAATGTTAGCAGTATGTTGAGCCTGTCAATTCTTCCTGCCAGTCCTGAAAGGGCACCATGTGCTAATCCGATCAGACAACGTGACAGTTGTGTCCTACATAAATCGCCAGGGAGGCCTCTCTTCGAAGC